AAAAAAAAAAAAAAAAAAAAAAAAAAAAAAAAAAAAAAAGACGGGCCGAAAAATAAATAGCCAAACGGTGAACAAATTACGCACAACAGGGCGAACACAGTTACGCCCCCCTAACTGACCAGCACATACCGCCGCTACACCACGAACAACTCAACACTTGCAGATGCGAAAACATTAACGTTGCTCTTTATCTTGGTCTTGCGCTTGATTAGCACACTGGGCAAAGTGACAAATCCGTGCGCACAAATAATGAAGGACCATTTAAGTCTAATGGATTGGTAGGGAAGTAAAATATTCTTCATTATCCTACCCCCTGTTATAATATACGTCTTCTTTCTAAAACCATCATTTGTGCCATCGGACATGTAGTTATCCTGATCAATTAAATGTTCCAGGTCGTCGGATGAAAGTACAGAAGAAACGGAGCTACTCTCAGATGTATTATAATTATTATAGTATTCCTGTTCAGTCTTAAATTTGAATTCGTTCAACATCTTGCTACTCTTTACGCTGCTAGATTCGTCCCAACCGCTTTTCATGACAACACCTTCTTCCTTCCCTTTCCCCCCTCTACCACGTCCTGCCCTCTTCCGGTCATACAAAAAAATTATAACTTCCTCGGTGATGTTCGTCTCATTAGTAATCACCGATTCGACGACAAAAAGTTCATTACATTTTGCCGTTCTTTCATAAAGGAGGTCTATCCTTATTTTGCTTTTCTTCGCCTCGCTCACTGGGGAGTAGTACTGCCCTTCCCTGTCGTACATCCTGTCGTCTGTCCGATCGGCAGGCGGCACCTGTACCACAAGTGTACGGATGATCTGGTCCCAAATTTTGTTAAAAGGGAAAAAAAGGTTCTTAAAATTAAAGTGGTACTTTATTATAATACCACCCCCTGCTGGATTGTTTTCTTTTACAATGTTGCAGTAGGTACTCTTGTGAGTTACCTCCACGGCATCTTTGAATGCTCCTCCCTTTATTTCATCAACGACAATTCCATTCGCGTTGTTGTTGTGTATGTATAGGTAGTACTGCAATGCGTTCTTCCTCCACCCGGTGCTTGTCTGTTCCTTCTCACGATGACCTACAATTTGCACGTCGTCTTGGCACCCGTTCGGTGTGGACGTAGGAGCGGAAACCTCCTCCGCGGGGATCCCATTCATACTATTCCTTTTCAAACCACCATCTTCTTCTCCTTCTTCCTCCTCCCTTTCTTCAATACCGCCCCCTCCACGGTCAATCCTGGTAACCATGGTTATGACGGACGGCTCCACGGAATACCTCCGTGGGTACTTCAGCTGGTCCTCGAAGGTGGCGCTTTTAAAGGAAAAGTCAAAGTTGACATTCACTTGTTTGCTCCCCCGGGTTGGGTAGACAAGGAGTGGGACGCACATCATCTTCTCCTCGACGCCTGCGTAAAAGGGGAAATCGTTTCTTCCTCGATTTGTTCTACCATTTGGTCCACGTGGACTCGCATTTTTTCTTCCCCTTTTCATTCCATATGACATGCAGCACTGGTTGCAGAAGTTGCTTCTGCCATACAGTTTTCCCCCGATGCGCTTAGCATCCAAACGGTTTCCCTGCTGTTCCACTTGAAAAAAAAATACATCATTGTCTAAATTGCTTAACTTGGAGTCTACTTCTCCACTGGCACGGTGCGATAGCAACTCCTGAAGGTCCTCGTCCAAGACCAATTCTTTCATTTCGTCCTTGTTGAGACATAGCCGCGGGTTATCCCCAGGGCACGTTTGGCTGGCATCTGTGGGGCTGTCTTGATCGAGTTCGTCCTGACTGCTACTGCCATCACTATTATCGCAGCTGCTACCATCGTTGCTACAACCACTGATATCCCCCTCGACCAACCTGCACACCTGCTCGCCGTCCCCGAAAAACTCAACCTTGTCATCTCTGCGGACCCGACGGACCCCCACAACATTGTCCTTCCTGGTCAACAAATAAACAACCAAATGATCCTCCCCTTCACAGTCATAAGAAAAACGAAACTCAACAGATTTCACATATTTAGAATACCTCACAAAAATGTACAAGGGGTTGTATTCGTTCAGGTAAAGAACGTCGTTCCGACAGTGCACAAAATAATGCACATAATTCGTTAGTGCCTTCTGAAGAAATTTACTCTTTTCGTTTCGTACAATTTTGTTCATGTAATCAGTGAGGTACACCCCTTGCTTCAATTTATAAGCATGTGTTTCTTCCCTTCCCCCCTCCTTGATGACTCTTATTTGGAAGATTTTTCTTTCTTCTTCTTTTGGTTCCTTCGGGTGTGGTGTTGCAATTACCCTGTCGGTAGTTTCTCCCAACGGAGCATCAATCGCATCATTATTTAGGGTACCTTTCCGTGCAGATTCTTCTTCATCTACGCTACCTACCATTTGGTGTTCCACCCCCAGGGGAACTCTCTCCAAGAACTTCTCCCTCAGAATGGATGCACTAACTTGATGAATTCGCAGCCGAACAATGTTACATGAAATGTTCAAATAAAGATCGACGTAATTAACTTCTATTTCGTTTTTCTTTCCCCCAGGTAAAAAAAAACTCAATAGGTTCTTTTCCCCCAAGGAGAACCCCTTCCAAGAGGCGTTCTCATCTGAGTCACTCCTACGGTGACGCTTCTTAAACAGCTCACTCTCCCTCGCAAGCCACTCCAACACACTTTTGCCATTCACCCCAACGTCGTTCACAACCTCCCCTGTAGAAAAAATAACTCCATCAAATTTATTACAAAAGGTTAACTTATAAAAAGACAATTGGTTGTTGATACAGAATCCGATAAAAGGTGCAAAAGGGAAATCTATATGGGTCCCGTTTTTTATTTCTAAAAAGGAGGCAATCTCATTAGGCTTAATCAAATAATATAACTTTACACTAACGTTTCCGATCGATATAGTGGGTGGTTCCTCGGCAAGGGGGGGGAACACCTCTTCTCCTTTTATGCTTTCACAATACTTGCAGAAAAAATCAATAAAATTTTTTTCTTCTCTTTTCTTCTTGTTCTTTATTAGGTCGTTTAAATACTCGAAGCATATTTGCATGAACATGTGTTGGTACTCCTTGATGTTAAGAGGTTCTTCTTTCGAGGGAGATCCGTCTGCGGTGCTTCCCCATTTATCCGGGTGCAGCAGGCAGCCCATGCAACTCAGCGTGAGAAGCAGCATCGGTTCGTGTGTATGCGTGTTGCTGCGGAGGGTAAAAAAAAAGAAAATGGCACAGAATTAACACACAACGTGGGCTTAAAAAATGGGCATATATGATTCAACAAATGGGTGTAGTGGTCAGCCATGCCGCTAATATATGTGGAGATGTCGCCCACGATCCACTGCCTCGAGTCTTACCGAGTGCGCTCGTAGCTCCGCTTAGCCGATACCACCCCCAATAGCGCATACAACTCGTCCAAGGGACAGATCCCCTCCCTCAAGGCGGCCGCGCTGATTGCACTCAAAACGGAAGAATCCTCCTCGCTGCCATAAAACGACAGCAAAAGGTACAAACAAAAACGGTAATTCCCTTTTTCATAATAAATCAGACACAAAAAATAAATGATCAGTCGAAACAAATTACTAATCTTCTTCTCGCTAATGATGGTATATATTTCAATTAAAAAGTTCTGAACAAAGTCCTCTAAAACTGAAACAGGGCACATGTTAAAATAATTATCAAATTGGGTGACACCAGAAAAGGCATCCACAATTTTGTCCCTCTTCCTGCGCGCCTTCAACATATAATATATGCAAAAGCAGCAGTACATCCCATACAACACTGTGTCTTTTGGGTTCATGCTCATGTTTTTTACAATTCTGTAAAAATAGAGGTAGATGCAGGACAGCAGGTTGTAGTATAGGTACTCCTTCATCGTGAGGTCGTACAGGAGGTGAACACTCTCATTTGTCGGGTGGTTTTCTCCTCCATTGGGTGTCTCTCCTCGGACGTTATCCCAACACTTCAACGAAGTAACCAAATCAGAGCAACCCGTTATTCCATACATGGAAATGACCTGGGAAAGTCTCCCTCCACCCTTGGGTATATCTCCTACACCCTCTTGTTCTTTCTCTTCTGCATCCCCTTCTTCTTCCTCCCTCCGCATCAATGCCAAGTAAATGATTTTATTATGAGTATAAATATGATGAATTGCCTTTTTAAAATCTTTAAAAAATAAATAAATGTATATCATCCGAATACTAACTGAGTTGAAAAAAATAACATACTTGAAAAAGGTCAGCTTATCTGGAAATGTATTTTCACCTGCATGTTCATAGAAAACTTTACATAAATTCACATAAATCTTCATACTCTCATCATATCTTTCTAAAATCTCCAAAACATATGCCTTCTTAAAATTATAATTAAAAAAAGTGAGTATGTTTTGTCCACTTTTTCTCTCGAAGCTTATTATGTGTTCCTTAAAAAAGGCATTAATACAATCCCTAAGAAGATTTTCTAACTTTTTAATTTTATTATGTATCTCCTTCAGCCCTAATGTGATAAAAATCGCGCTGATGTTTTTAGAATTTAAAAGGCTAATATATTTGATGTACTGTTCTGTGTTTTGTGTATTCTCTGGCAGAATGACCAACACAATAATTTTGCAGATTTTCTTCCTCTTCATAATTATTGTGTTTATTTCTTCTATTCGCTTCATCAGGTCTTTGTTCACTTGACTCATGAAGGCTGCATTCTGCACGCAAGCACGGACGAGCTCAGATTCACCCGATTGGACGGGGTCCACCTGGACGGGATCGACCTGGTCGGGGACCTCCACGGAAGGACTCTCCCCAGTTGGGTCCCTGTCTTGCCCCTCCTCATTAGCAATTCCCTGCCAGTCGACGCAAAATATCACAACAGACGTAGCCACCTTCATCTTTTGCAGCCAGGGGTTCATCAACATGGCATGTCCACCTCCCCCCTCGCCCCCATCTGCCACCTCACTCGCAAAAGAATTTATTTTGTAAATACTATCATAATCGTAGCTGCTTATTTTCACATTCCTGTCCTTCATATTTTGCTTTAAATTTTCTATTATCTCCTCTTTTATGTCGTCATTAAGAATTACACTAACGTTTACACTCGCCCGCTCGTAGATTTCCTGGTCGTGCAGATCCATGTTTGCATCTCTTCGTTAGTTCTGCCCTTAGGGTAACTCGAGCGGGGTTTACGTGCACCTTCATGTGTGGGTGATGTGTCCTCATCTGCTTTACCCTCCGGGGTTGTTCCATATGTGTGCACGTTCGATCGTGTGACCTCAAAACGATCACTTCAGTTTTAATCCCGGCTGGCTATGCAAATCGGTATTCCGCCTCTTCCCCGTACAGCCATGACCGTAGCTCCTGCGAAGGTTAACGCTACTATTACTACCCACTACTACTTGCTACTACTACCGCTACTCTGTGTTTTAACTTGTTAGGACTCTCGATTTTATAAGCCCTTCTCAATTTTTCAAATCGAGCCTCTTCATCAGAACTTCATCCGCCCTCATGAGGTAGAGATCCTCCTTGTGTGCTTGTTTTTCTTTTTTTTTTTTTTTTTTTTTTTTTCTCCTTCTTTGTAATTTGCTACATTTTAAGGAACCCCGAGCAGGGGAGTGCTCATTAGGAAGGCTCGATCGGCGGGAAGCCCTTGGATATTATACTCCCTCCTTTGTGCACGCAACGAGGCACGTACGTTAATGCGCTGTGGTGCTCGGCGATCTCAACTTTACACGTTCTTGCCTACCCACCTCGACAATTTGCGTGTGTCACCATAGCCCCTACTTTAACGCGAAAACCATTATCGCAGTTTTTTTTTTCCTCTAAAAATATTTAAAACGAAACGTAGAGGAATACGCTAGTTTTTTTTTTTTTTTTTTCTACATGGGGAGAATTCCCCTCAATCAGTTGTTAGAATCCCTGAGCGAACATGTCCTGAAATTGCGCCGCAGGGGAAACAAATTGTTATTATAACTCCTACCCCTATGTACTCTGTGCGTGATTATTCATGTATAGCAACTAGTTTTACGCTTGTCCGCTTCGGTTTTAAAGAATACTGAATCGACACCCTTTTTAGTGAGTACAAAAAAGGAGGCGGAGGACAAACTATCTTACCTTCACCCCCGGTCACCTAAAAAATGACAGCACATTCAACTTAAAAAAAAAGATAAAAAAAAAAATAACCACACCCATTTTTAAAATAATAATTTCATTGGTCATCCGTTTTCCGTTCAAATTGAGGTGAACAAAATGTATAAGCAAAATATTTACCAGCGCGACCTCACGTGTGCAGCACCTACATTATTCTCAAGTGAACTTCGTACACTTAAAGTGACAGCCCTGTTTACTTTGTTTCGCATCTGCAATGGAACTCACATTTGATGCTCGTGGACAAAAGACAGCGGCGACGGAAGTTTTGCAATATCGCAGACTTCCATCCGCATACGTATTTGTGTTCACGGAGATGGCCACGGTGTCCGCCATTCCCTGAACACACAAGAAGGCCATATAATGTGAAATCGAAATTGACTGCAGACTATTCCATAGTTTAACTCCACCCGTTGCTTTCCCTTTGGAGTTACCTCCTCCTCGTGATGGGTCACCCGTACGAGTATGTTCATCGGCACAAAATGGACGCCACGTTTATTAATTATGGACGGGTGGGCGGACGGATCGAAGGATGCACATGTGTATCTTTTTTCTGTTATTTCCCGTCCCATTCTCCCCTTTTTTCCATTTAAGAAAAAAAAATTCTCCACATATTTTTTCCCAACGCCATTTGAGAAGAGCCCCCGAAAAAAAAAAAATGGCACAAATCGGACAAAGAGCGAAGGCTGTACACGGATTTATTTTTTCCATTGTGCGAGCAAAAATAAGCAAAATCGTGTTGTAAAATTTTTTTTTTTTTTATGAGGTAAAATAAAAATCTGAAATAATTTCTGAGACCAGTTAACCGAAATTAATCTTAAAAAAAAAAAAAAGGGGAATTAGATGATTGGTTACAGTCTGCACGTTCGCATTATGGAAAACATTTATTATGGTACATATGTGAATCAAATTTGTCGGACGGATTAGAAGAGCAAAATCGTACACACAAAAAGTGCTTACACAGATAGACAACAAAATGAACATGTGGAAAAATAAGAAAGTAAACACGGGAAAAACATCCACACATGTGTTTTTTTAATATTCAATTCGTTAGTAATTTCTGAACAATTTTTTTTTTTTTTTTATCCCTCTTTAATTTCCCGTTTTTTGCGCCTTTTCCTCATGCGAAAAATGTGTGACGAGGGAAGTTGCTGCGGTTGAAAATCCCTCTAGGGCAAACCGCACGGAAGCCTAATTTTCACTTTTTTATGTCCATTAATTACCTGGTTAGTTGCTTCTGTAGTTGATTAATTTGTTAGCCAATTCGTTAGTTTGCCTTTTCTTCCAAAGCGCTTTACGCCTGGGGCAAACGTCCTTACCGGGCCAACCCACAATCTGCGCATTTTCGTGCTCATTAAAATATGCTATCTTTCTGTTGCACGATTTTTTTGTTCAGCTATTTTCCCTCCAGTTGACTCGCATCGGCGGTTGACATTCGCAACTTGGAAAAGCGCACAAAAGTTGCGCATGCGCGTGTGAATACATTTCCATGTGTATCCATATGTGTGCATAAATACGCGCGCCCGCGCATACAACGTTCACATACACATGCACATGTTCACGCGATGGAAACTGAAAATGTGGAAACGGCCCCTGAGACTGTGGAGAACGACAACACGCAGTTACAATCTGAAGGTAAGACGGGAAAAAAAGTAGCGTTTATGGGGTATGCTCCAATGCCGCCGCTGCAAATGTGGTTAATTTGTTTTCATTTTTTTCCCTCATTTTTTTCACTCCTCAGGACAAGATGGAATCTCAATAAGTAAGCATTCAAAAAAAAAAAAAAAAAAAAAAAAAAACATTCGCCATAGCAAGGGACCAACTTGTAATACCCCTTGCATGTACAACGCACACCCCTTCGTCATTACATATACTACACACTTCATAACGATTTGCCCGCTCCCAGTGCAAGAAGCAGAGATCGTCCTCATAACGACTTCTCTGGGGGGAATAAAATCGTCCTTCTTTTCTTCTTTAAGGGCACAGAATTTACTGAATTGTAAAAAGTTCCTCTACGTTGTTATAGACTCCAATAGAGACACCAGCACAGCAAAAAGTGAGAAAATTGCTACCTACCTAGAAATATCTGACCTGTTTAGTTACTTAGTACTACATGCTTTGTTGAATCCTTTTCTGCTTCACCTCCCACTTTAATTCATTTCCTTTACACATGTACTGTGCTCACTCCTGTGCAGACTTGAAAGATGAGGAACTTTTCAACCAGTGGAAGGAAGATGAATTGCTCCAATCAAACGAAAACGGAGTTGTGCTGCCTCAAGTTTTAATCGATGGAGTGTCAGTAGGAAACGACATAGCATTGCAAAATTTGGAAGATGAAGGAAATTTAGACTTCATCGTGTCCAGGTTAAAATGCCCAAACTGCTTACAGGAGAAATCCAACACAGATGTGCAGTGCCCTCATTGTAAGTATGACTATGTCAGTTTAATTTCAGATGACTTAATTAGAGACAACGCGGTCGTAAGGATGCTCCAGGGGGAGCTATATAATGAGGACGAAACGGCAGAGTGACCGGAGAAACATTCAAATAAAGTAAGGTCAAATCATATTTTAAGTGACGTCAAAATTGTGCAGCCTTTTCCTTAAGCTCTACATCAGGACACTTCTCCTTTTTGAGGCCTCTCGACCCGTGGTCACCCACGTGTTCACAGGCACAATTATGTCACTTCTGCTGTGGACGTAGTCACGTCAGAACCTGTCTCACCTTTCATTTTTTTATGATCAAAAAATGAACCCCCTTTCTGTTATACTGAACAGATTATCCTAACGTAACATAACGTAACGCCGAGCTGCACATATTTTTAATTAACTTATAATAAAAAATATATTTGTTTCATCCCTCGATGGGAAAAATTCAGCCGTGAATGCATGTAAACGTTATAAACGCTTTTCCAAGGCGTGAAATGTTGGGGAGTTCCCATTTGGAATGCCTATTTGGGAACACCTACTTTCGCATTTCTTTTGGTGCAAGTTTTAAAAGTAACATTTTACGGGCCTTAATTTTAAGACCCCATAAACACCCATTTGTCTCAGTCAGGCGTCCGTACACGCGGAATTATTCTTTATGGTTGTTGAGGGTGCGCACAGAAAAAGTGCATGCGTTTGTGCATACGCCTTAACGCACAAACATGTCTGTTCGCATGATTTTCCTGTTTTCGCTAGGCTTTACCCAATCCACTTGTTTTTCCCCCTTTTTTTATATATATGTATACACATGCATACCAGTGTGTGACAGCGTTACAACAGATGCCACACTCCAAGGGATCTACACCTCCGCTCATGGTGCATGTAAAAAACGCAACACATCTTGTCTCCTCTTTTAATTTTTTCATCTCACATATTTGGTTTCACAAATGAGCACTAACTGCGTCTGCCTTGGAGTTTTGAAAACAAAAAATAAAATAATAAATATGAAGCGTAAAACAGCTGCTCGTAAAAATTGATCGTAGAAGGTGCCCATAAAAACGACTTCACCATATTTCATAACTTAGGAACCTTCCAAAAGAAGTCTCCACGCGTTATAGTGAAAAGGTGTTTCATTTTCCAGACATGTTCCCAACCTTGGTGAGTTGAAAAAAAGAGAAAGGGAGACATGGGTGAATTATTATACTTATGTGAAAGAATTTACTAGGGGGTGCTTTTATGGTTGGCGAATTGAATTAACCGTCCATGTTGATTGTCTTTTTATTAGCCATACATATTAACTGGTCATATGTTTTTTTTTTTTTTTTTTTTTTTTTTTCAAGTAGCTCGATGCATGCACGCCAGCTAAACCGTTTTAATTTTACCTGCACAGTCAGGAAAAAATGGAAGTTTTTCGACAAAAAAGAAAAAATAACACATATAGTTACATAACACGTTACATGCGTGCGAATGTGCCTAAATCTTTTAACATCATGGCAAAATATTGACCGCAAGGAAGAAAAAAACTTTTTCACATTTGGTAACCCTTCATAATTAAAAAAAAATGCAACACTGATCCTTTTTTTCTGGCAACACACAAAAAACTGAACACAAATTTGAAACTCGTAGAGTCAGTTGCATGTTTTAACGAAAGCGCGAGCATTTTGTTCGAAGACAAAAAAGGAACAGGAAAAAAGAAACATAAATGTTCCATAACAACACGTAATGGTGGATACATGTTATATAAATATTCATATTCGTAAATTTTCCTTTTGTCTTATATGTGAAAATTTGGAATATTATGCCATTTATGTTTGAAATTTTTTTTTTAAAGTTGTTCATGATTTTAAGCCCCATCCTTCTGTTGTGGCTGTTATTATGTTGTTTTGCAAAAAATGACATTTGTCCTCACAAGGGAATTGCTCTTTTTTCGCGAAAAATGGTGATGTCCCTTGACAAACGCATTTTTTCCTTCATTTGGGTATCTTTTAAAAATATCGCCCGTTGCCATGCTGCTATACTACTATATTGCTAGTTCGTAATTTACACAAAATTTATTTAACAATCCGAGGTATATAAACCTGCAGTTGTATATACAAAGAGAGTAGATATTTTTTTTTTTTTTTTTTTTTTTTTTGTTTGAATTTACACATGAGATAGCTAGAATTCTCTACACCCCGCATAATTTTACACAATTTTACCGCGCCTTTTTTTTTTTTTTTCTTTTTTCCATTTTCGCTTGTTCATTTGTACGTTTTCTCAATTGTACCTTTCTTTTTCATATTTGTATATTTTT